GGTCATGCCACAGCATCTCAATCGGGTTGAGGTCAGGACTCTGACTGGGCCACTTAAGAAGGTGTATTTTCTTCTGTTTAAGCCATTCTGTTGTTGATTTACTTCTATGCTGTGGGTCATTGTCCTGTTGCAACACCCATCTTCTGTTGAGCTTCAGCTGGTAAACAGATGGCCTTAAGTTCTCCTGCAAAATGTCTTGATAAACTTGGGAATTCATTTTTCCATCGATTATAGCAATCCGTCCAGGCCCTGATGCAGCAAAGCAGCACCAAACCATGATGCCCCCACCACCATACTTCACAGTTGGGATGAGGTTTTGATGTTGGTGTGCTGTGCCTTTTTTTAGCCACACATAGTGTTGTGTGTTAATTCCAAACAACTCAACTTTGGTTTCATCTGTCCACAGAATATTTTGCCAGTACTGCTGTGGAACATCCAGGTGCTCTTGTGTAAACTGTAAACATGCAGCAATGTTTTGTTTGGACAGCAGTGGCTTCCTCTGTGGTATCCTCCCATGAAATCCATTCTTGTTTAGTGTTTTACGTATTGTAGATTCTCTAACAGGGATGTTAGCATTTGCCAGTGACTTTTGTAAGTCTTTAGCTGACACTCTACCTTACCGTTAACTGATAAACAGCAAGGCTTTTGGAGATACTTTTATAACCCTTTTTAGCTTTATGCAAGTCAACAATTCTTAATCGTAGGTCTTCTGAGAGCTCTTTTGTGCGAGGCATCATTCACATCAGGCAATGCTTCTTGTGAAAAGCAAACCCAGAACTGGTGTGTGTTTTTTATAGGGCAGGGCAGCTGTAACCAACACCTCCAATCTCATCTCATTGATTGGACTCCAGTTGGTTGACATCTCACTCCAATTAGCTCTTGGAGATGTCATTAGTCTAGGGGTTCACATACTTTTTCCACCTGCACTGTGAATGTTTACATGGTGTGTTCAATAAAAACATGGCAACATTTCATTCTTTTTTGTGTTATTAGTTTAAGCAGACTGTGTTTGTCTATTGTTGTGACTTAGATGATGATCAGATCACATTTTATGACAAATTTGTGCAGAAATCCATATCATTCCAAATGGTTCACATACTTTTTCTTGCAACTGTAGATCTTTTTTTGTTTTGTTTGTTTAATATCTTTTTTATTACGTTTTTGAGTATAGAAATAGGGGGATACAGGAAAAAAAAGGGGGGAGACATTGTAACAATACATTGGGAATCACTAACATATCACATGGCCTACCCCACTTGACTCTTTAAACAATGCTCAGAGTACAGCTGTTGTGTAGGTGGCTTAGTAATTCGGGAATGTGGTTAGGTTAGTGTTCGAAAGAGGGGAGAGAGATTGGGGGTGGGAGGGTGTCCTGCTGCTCTAAAGTCTGTTATGTTGAGTCTAATACCTGTTGGGGTTCAGATAGCTACATGAGGCATTATTTACATTTCTACTGTCTCCCTTGTTGCGAGGTGCAGACTAAGATCTTAGGGGTGTTACCCCAATACAGGAGCCACGGTTCCCAGATCTTAAGGTACCTGCCTCTGTTCCCTAGTGCCGACCAGTGCATCTCCTCCAATTCTCTCATTTTTTTCTACTTGGTGGACCGATTGTTCTCTAGTCGGTATGTCAGTACCTCGCCAATACCTAGGTATCAGGGCATTTGCTTCTCCCAGAAGTAAGGACAGGAGTTGCTGTTTGCGTTTCTCCTTGAAGGAGCCAGCCCAGGAGAACTTGGGATGGTGTCAAGTGAGTCTGCAGGGTCAGGATTTTAGTGATCTCATCTATTATTTGTGTCCAGAACGGTGTTATTGCCCTACAGTTCCACCAGATGTGCTCAATGTTACCCTGTTCTTCTCCACATCTCCAGCATTTGTCACTGATTGCGAGCCAGTATGAGTGTAGTTGTACCGGTGTTCTATACCACCTAGTGACTCTCTTATAAGAGGTTTCTTTTCGTGCTATGCTAATTGGGGTTTTAGTCCCCGAGATCATAATCTGGGCCCAGTCTTCCTCCATCATATGTATGCGGAGGCCTCTCATCCATCTACTTTGGAATGTGGGTCTGAATTGATTCCCTATCTCTGCATTGAGAATTCGGTATATGGCTGAGAGTGGGAGTCTAGTTTTGTTTCCCTGGGTGCTCATGCGTTCAAATGGTGTCCTGTCTCTCTCTCGCCACAAGGGGAGGATCGACTGCGTCAGGTAGTTGGACAATTGGGCCCTTCCCATGATGTCTAGGAGTGTCTCTTGTCTATTGAGTTTGGGGAGTGCTTTAAGTTTGGGTGTTGTATCCCCTGTTATGAGTGTCCTGATATCGGGATTAGGGGTCCCGAGGAGCCAGGATAATGTGGTGGGACCTTTGCCATTCTCAAAGTCTGGATTAGCTGCTAAAGGGAAATATGGGGAGATACCCGGGGGAAGATTCCATTCCTCTTTATGTCTTCTCCATACCCTGAGGATATTATGGATTAATGGATATAAGGCTCTGAATGTTTTGATTTCTGACTGTACCTGTGGGAGAGTGTTCATCAGGTCTGTGATGGAAAAAAGAATATTGACCGCAAATGCGGAGATCTTCATCTCCTCCCCAGGGTACTGATATCCACGTATTCTGGGGTTTTTACGAATGGCTGACAGAAAGGGCTCTACTGCTAGTACAAACAAAAGGGGCAACAGCGGGCAGCCCTGCCGGGTCCCATTACTTATTTGAAAGGAGGTGGACAGTTGTCAGTTCACTCCAACCCTGGCTGTTGGCCATCTATATAGGGTCTGTATCCAATTTCTCAGTTTTGGTCCAAATCCTAGCCCTTCCAACACTTTAAAAAGCTATGTCCAGTCCACCCAGTCAAAGACCTTTTCCGCATCTATGCCCAACAACAGAGTCGGTGTGTTAGTCGCGTTTGCTCCATGTATCACACTGATTATTCTCGAAGTGTTGTCCCTGGCTTTGCGCCCGGGTCCAAAGCCTGCTTGATCAGGGTGGACCAGGTTTTGAAGTAGAGGTTTGATACGGTTTGCAATTAATTTGGCTATGAGTTTGAGGTCCAAATTAATAAGGGAGATAGGTCTGTAATTGCCGCATACCTCAGGGTCCTTCCCAGGTTTGGGGATGATGGTAATAGATGCTCTCAGCATCGGTGGAGGCAGTGAGGAGTTCGGTCCCATCCCATTAATAGTTTTAAGAAAGTGTGGTTCCAGTTCCCCAGCTAAAGTTTGGTAGTATTGTGCAGTTAGACCGTCTGGGCCCGGGCTTTTGCCTTTCAGCATTGTTTTGATGGCGAGGGACAGCTCCGAAGGAGAGAATGGCTCCTCCAGTGCTTGCGCCATAGTGTCTGGTACTCTGGAGGCTATATGTGCAGTTAAATAGTTTTGTATATCCTCGGGTGTTCCCTCTGGGGGGGTAAGATTATAGAGGGTGTGATAGAAGTCGTGGAATGCTTCCGCTATGTCTTTGGTGGTGTGACAGTGTGTCCCCATTTTAGTTTTAATTCTAGCTATAAATGATTTTTGGAGTTTGGCCTTCAAGGCTCGGGCCAGTAATTTCCCGCTCTTGTTCCCATATGTATAAAATGAGCTTCTCGTTAGTTGGAGCGATCTTTGTGCTTTTAGTGACAGGAGAGAACGAATCTCCATTCTAAGGGCCATTAGCTTTTGAAAGGTATCTTGGGTAGGGTTGTTCTTGTGTAGTGTTTCTTGCTCGTGTATTGCGTCCAATAAGGTGTCCAGTTTGAGTGTTCTTTCTTTCTTAATTCTTTTATCAAAACTCCTCTAATGACCCCTTTATGAGCTTCCCAGACCCATGCATCCGATGTGTCTGCTAATGAATTGTCTATGAAATAGTCACTTAGAGTCTTTTTCATGTCTTTTAGGACCCTAGGGTCACCCAGAAGGGTCTCATTGAGACACAAGTGAGAAGTGTGTGTGGGGGCATCCCACACATATGGTACGCAGTACCAGAGGAGCTGTCCATCGAGTGGTTGAGGACCATGTTCCAGTCACCTCCCATTATCACAATACCTTCTGCAAACTCTTCTAGTTTAGTTAGACATGTTCGGGTGTAGGAGCCCTGGTCTGAGTTTGGTGTGTATATGTTTGCGAGAGTGATCATTGAGCCCTGGCATTTCCCCTTAACAAATAAAAATCTCCCCCCCGGATCTACCTTGACACTGGATTCAGTGAGGGCTGCACAGGAATTTACTAATATTGCCACACCTCTGGATTTGCTGCTTTTATAGTTAATATAGTATGATTGTTGTCGAGATCTAAGCTTTGGTTGGAATTCGCCTCTGTAGTGCGTTTCCTGGATAAATACGATATCAGCTTTCTGCCTGTCAATCTCCTGTGTTAGTGTACTTCTTTTCTCTGGGGAGTTTAGGCCCCTCATGTTCAGGGACATTAACTTAAGTTGTGCCATCATGATAGAGATTATTGTTTTTACTTGAATTATGATGGTATTGGTGCAGGACTATGGGGATTGTACCTGGGGAGAAAGGTGGAAAGGGGGGAAAACAGAAACTATGTACATAAATATGATGCAAGAGCGTCATATACTTAGTGAGTTGGCGCTGCACTTGCGGGAGACTCAGTCGCGTCCCCAAGTAGTTGTAAGTGCCTCTCTGGTGGGGGGTGGTGACCGTTCTTTTGCGGCAAGGGGTATGTGATTGAGGTACAGAGGGTAATCTGGGTACCAGGGGCTTGAATCATAATTCTCTGTACTTGGGTCTATCCCTGTATCCCTTTGAATATACCCGGACCTGCACATTCATACGCCGTTTTTACCTTAAGCGGATACTTGTACTCATACTATTGAGGGCTATAGAAGCCGGTTGATACATAACAAGAATCATTTTTGTGGTAATAACATCGCTTAAATATTTAAGCTAAACCTTTTTTTTTAAATTTTTTTTTTTAAACTTATCTAGAAAACTTGCGTGGTGAGAGTCCTCAGCTTTTAAATTAGATACAGCAAAGGATATGTGTGGCCATTCATGCCGTTTTCACGCTGGTGTGTTTCTGAGTGTAGTGGGTGTTTCTGCTCCCATTTGGTTCTGCCATCTGTGCTTCCTCAGCGTTCTCTGCCATTTGGGTCTTTGTTGCATTTGAGTGTAATCACCAGCTGATAGACCTGTCCAATCTTCCACTTCGGTGAGGGGTTGGCCCAGGGCCTGTTGGAAGCCTGGGATGTCTGCTGGGGTTGTAATGGTGTGTGTTCCGTTCTGGGTCACCACTGAGAGTGCAAATGGGTAATTCCAGCGGAACTTTATTCTTTTCTCTAAGAATGCTGTGGTGATGGGTTTAACGCCCTTCTGGCCTGCAGTGTAGTGGGTGAGAGATCCTGATATACTGCTACCGGGTGGCCTTCAAGATTCAGGTCCTTATTCTGCCTGGCCTTGTGGAAAATTTCTTCTTTTAAGGGGAAGTTGTGTAGGCGGCATATAAGGTCTCGGGGGCTCTCCGATGGTAAGTTTCTGGGTCGTGCTGCTCTGTGAGCCCTGTCGAATTGGATCGCTGTGTCGGGTGGTCTAGCAAGTATGAGGTTAAAGAGGGTAGTTAGTATCTGTATGGGGTTTTCCGTAGAGCCTTCCTGGCTTTCTGATACTCCTCTTACCTGCAAGTTGTTGCGCCTTCCCCGGTTATCCACATCGTCCAGTTTCCGTTGCAGGTGTATTAAAGCATCTAAATGAAGCTTCTGTGTAGTGTGGCACTCCGACCACTGTCTTTCAGAGAGCTCCTCCGCATCCTCCAGGGCTTGCACCCTGGTTCCCAGTTGCTGGATGTCCGCATTCACAGCTTGTAATTTTTCGCTGAAGGAATTCACCAGTCTCTGGAACATGTCAGCCAGGTCTTTCTTCGAGGGCAGTTGCGTGAGTAATGTTCTGATATCAGCTTCTTCTACTGAGTCCTCAGAGGCAGATGGGCTGGATGGTTGACTGCCTCGTGTAGTAGTCATGGGCGCCATTTTGCTTCAGTTGTTCTTGTGAAGAATCTCCTCTGAGAGGTGATGGGGGTTCTCGGATGTCGAGGTGCTCCCCGAAGTGCTGCGTTGTTTTTTTTGTTGCCATTGCTGAGGTAATCGCCGGGTTTTGCTTATTAAACCCCTGTCATGGACAGAGCTTGGCTCTCAAGCTGCCAGTCTCGTCGGTGCCATGGCCACGCCCCCTGGTATATAGATCTTTTACGTCATCAGACCTTCACTACCATCATTTTAACCAAATTGGAGCGCATTCGTCCACAGATATCATCAGGTAATGTCTTGGTGGTACACCATTACTTGAACAAAAAATATAAATAAATGTCCACACAATTGACGATGACATTGGAGAACTGAGAGAAGCAAGAGAGCAGTCACAGCTAAGAACTTTTCACCTTTTACACAGAGCTGGTATTATGTCATGTATCCCTGCAGTCTACATCTCTCTTCAAAAAGCATAAAAGAGTACATGTGGATATATAAGGTACAGGCTGGTCGGGAACTCAGTCAGTAACAACATTGGGGCTCTAAGGCTTTCGGGTAACTACTGGTGAGTGTGCAGTATATATGGATAAGTGAGCAAGTGCGTTTGTCAGTGACTGAATATGTCTAAGTGTTTGTGTGTACCTTTGAATTAATCTGTGTGGGTATGGGCTACTCTTTGTGTCAATAAGTGAACGTATGAGTCATTGTTTGTAAGGGTCAGTCTGTACATGTCAATGAGTATTTGTGTGCATGGATCAGTATTTTGGTCAAATGTGTGCTTGTGTCTGTATGCATCAGTACGTGTGTGCATGGCTCAGTCTGTGTGTGTACATATTTGTGTCAATAACTGTGAGTACACCAGTTAACATTAATAAGAGTGCATCCACTGAAATATTTTTTTTCAATATCTGTAAAATTATCTAGTTCCACAAAATATATGTGACTTTCTGAGAGTATTAAGCATGTGCATGTGTATACACATATAGCAATAAATGTGCGTGTATATATAATAAGTATTATTTTAATTATTTTCAGACCTGTATAAAAACATGGCTGCTTTTTATTCCAGCCTGTTCATGTAGCCACATGTACGTAAGACTTTCTCTCTTTCTTTCTTTCTTTCTCTCTCTCTCTCTCTCTCTCTCTCTCTCTCTCTCTCTCTCTCTCTCCCTTTGTTTTAAAATAGTTTATAAAGACTTCATTTTTTATGATCTAGGGCAATAGTACTCGTTTTAATAAATTTTCTCTGTGTACCTTTTGATTGTTGTGTGTCTAAATGTATTATTCCTCTTATATTTGAGTAAATGTGATTTATTTATTTGTTCACTGTGTTCACTCATGGCATTTTTTTCTTTGGTTCCAGCTCAGGTCCGTATGCTCCATCCACAGTCACAGAAATTCACTGAGGAAATAAACACCCTTGCTAATTGTGCTCAGTAGAACCAGTTGCATGCACCATGGGAAACCAATTATAAAACAATGCACTAAGACTTAAAAAATAAGAATTCAACTCACAAATGGCCAATAAATCCAATACATTTTGTGGATCTGTGGCCTTTAGGAAAACTTATTAAAATTGTAGAATTGTGTGTATATGTGTTTTTATGTGTTTAATCTATGCTTTTACTAATACACTGTAGCAGAATTATATCTAAATTTGGTACAGAGAGATACCTGCCTGAACATCCAATGATCTGTAGTCTGCAACTGCCAGAATGCCAAAGTTAAAGGGACACTATAGTCACCAGAACAACTACAGCTTATTGAATTTGTTCTGGTGAGTAGAATCATATCCTTCAGGCTTTTTGCTGTAAACACTGTAAACAAATTACAGCCTCGTGATAACTTCACTGGCCACTCCTCAGATGGCTGTTAGAGATCCTTCTGGGTCATGGCTGCCTAAAATGCATCCAAACATTCAGTATCTCCTCCCTCGGGATGCAGACACTGAACTTTCCTCATAGAGATGCATTGATTCAATTCATCTCTATGAGGAGACGATGATTGGCCAGGGCTGTGTTTGAATAATGCTGTATCTGCCCCTGATCTGCCTCTTTGTCAATCTCAGCCAATCCTATGGGGAAGCATTGTGATTTGATCAGGCTACTACTTCTGCTGTCAGCAGGCACTGGGCAGGTCTAAAGGAAACAGTGACAAAGCATGCAGCTCCAGACTTGAATATAAGTAAGATTTTACAATATTCAGGAAGGCATGAGGGGACCATGGTGGTTTTAACTCTATAGGGTTAGGAATACATGTTTGTGTTCCTGACCTTATAGTGCTCCTTTAAGCCATCATTATTATAGCATTTGTTCTAAGCACTGAAGAGTAATTCACACATGGTAAACCAAGTGTGTATGTAATAGTGACAAACACTTCCATAAGTGACAGCATGAACCATAAAGTTAAAAAAAAGTTATCTGGCATACCCTGAAGCCCCTCCCCCCCCCCTTAACCCCTTGATGAAATGTAATAACAACTAGTGTATGTAGTAAAGTATGTATGTAGCAAAGAAAAAATGCATTTTAGAATTCAAATAATAAGAAGGATCACAAAGATAAAATGTAAGTGGCACTTATTCCAATCCAAGATAAAAACAAGACACAGTGTTAGTGCACACAGTAATATAATTACCTTTTACAATGTAATAAATATTTTTTTATAAATATAAGTATTTATTACATTGTAAGAGGTAAATATATTGCTGTGTGCGCTATTACCTTATATTATTTATCTAATAAGTAAAATCAATTGGAAATTGCTGACCAACAAAAAATCTTCACTGCAGTTGTTCACTAATAGTTTGCCAGCCAGTCAAAATACTTACCGATAAGTCTTTTTTATAGCCAAAGTTCATATATACACATTGCTAGATATCAACAACAAAATAATGGAAAAACATTTTTTTTATTAGTTTTCTAGTACATACACCTTATGATCATACAGATGCCTGTAGTATCACAGTAAAATATTAGCAAAAATCGAAAATGGATAAAAAAAAAACAAAAACAGAAAAATGAAATAACAATACAGCAACATTGATCAAGCAATACATATATAATGAAATGGAGCAAGTATATAGGCAAGTGTACTAATGTGGTAGAAAATCTGCAATTAATAAAGTGATAGAAGGGACACAGTGAAGTAAACATAGTTACATAAATTGTGTTGATTCTATTAAAATCATTTATAATTTATCTATTACAGTTTTATACCAGTTTTTATATATAATAAAAACAAAATTTGGTTCTAGGAATTACGAGTGTAAATACCAACTTCACCTAATTGTATGATAGCTATCTGAAAAATAAATGAAAAATAATATAAGTTAATATGTACATAACATGTCATAAAGTGTATGTAGTGTAATAAATTTAAAGTGACAATGTCTAAAATATTATCAACAAACATTTATTATTCAAGTGTATATTTTAGAGTATACAGCTCTGTATGTGTTGTATTGTACATTTGTTTTTCTAAATTAGTAGGTAATTTAGCACTTGTTTGATTCATGCTAATTTAAATGTGTTACTGGTGATGTTGATGGTTGTAGTATTAGTGGTGGTGATGGTAACATTTACAGTGGTGACCTTGCACGGACCATAAACAACAGTATCCGACTCAAAGTTTGAGTGAGTGCAAATGAAGAGGTAGCTAGACAAGAGGAAGTTTTTCTCTTCCTTTTTAAAAATTTTTTTTTACTGAACAATTGAACACATATCTCCTAGTCAAAGTTGTTTCTGGTGCCCCTGGCAATAACTAGCTAACTTGATAAAGCAGCAACTAAACCAAGTCTCACACTATAATCAATAACATAGTCTATTTCCCACTCCAACATAAGCACAGCAAGAGTAACATGCACACAGTATCACTGCTGGTTTGTCTTTTTCAGTAACTGCTGTCAAATGGTCTTGACTATCCAACTTGGAAGTATAGCTTTTTACTGCTCCTCATTTTATTCTTTTATTGGTTAGTTGTCACATGATCATGACTAAAATCACCATTTACTAGCTGTTTTGCATAAAATGTAATGGTTAATATATACATATATTGGTATTATAGGAATTGTAACTGCCTCGGTTTGACAGAAGCTCTATTCCACATGATTAGGCAGTCCTCTTGTCCACCATGGCAAACTAAGCTGCTTATTTGCCCCCACCAAAAAAAAAGAAAAACAGCATCTTCTCCATTCCATCACTTTTTTTTTTTTGTGCCAGGAAAGGAACTCTGAATCAAGAATGAAAATGAGCACGTCCATGCTTGCATGAGTCCGTTCTCCTAAGATCCATGTGGCGGCTCAGAAATCAGAATTTTGGTCAATCACCAGATTGACCTGAATTCAGCCAAATTGCATT